CTCACAGTCACATGCAATTTCTCTAGTTTTGACTATTATGGACGCATAAAACAATTATGAAAATCATGTTTAATTTTCGTAAATTTTTATAGCTTATTGTCTGTAAAATGGAATACTGCCATTCGTCACTTTACAGGTTCGAAAGAGTCCACAATCGTCCTTGTTTGTGACAAATAATTTTCCACTTTACAACCCTTCTGTCACAGAGGAAACTTCTCAAGACTCTCGCTGCTCCATCGCTATTTCCATGGAGAGTACTCAAATGTACTACTTTCCTTAATTGCACCAGTATTAACCTTCACGGCTCGGAACGGCTATGCTACGCGCATTTTGGCGAACCACTTTTATTTCTTCCGTATTCCATTGGTAAGAAGTAAGTTCCACACGAGCAGCAAACCACTGCTCTATGGAAGCGACCCTCAAGGGGATCTTTTCCCGATCACTACAATTTTAATCTGTTCAAGTCTAGGATTAACCTTTATCTTAACCACATATCCGTATAAACTCTGCCTCTTTCTCTTTACCCCTCTATCTCGAATGGCTCCCGGGCAGCGAACAACTGCTCTATGGAAGCGACCCCCAAGGGGATCTTTTCCCGATCACTACAATTTTAACCTGTTCAAGTCTAGGATTAACCTTTATCTTAACCACATATCCGTATAAACTCTGCCTCTTACTCTTTACCCCTCTATCTTGAATGGCTCCCGGTCTTTGTACAGAGTGATCCACACGGTAAACGAAAAAATTAAGAATTGCGCAATATTTTAGAAATAAATTGTGAAAAAAAAATCAAGCTATTTTTGGCCGGTTTATTTTTTATTTTCGTTTGGGAGAAGGAAAAAAAAACAAAACACTATTTTAATCCATAATTGATGTCTACTGATTTTTACTGATCTTGCTGATCGCCAGCATCTAGCCTCTGATCTGGTCCTGTCCAAACTATCTTAGAATATTAATTGATTTGTTGTAATACAGGTCATAAAGTCAAAAGACTAATTTTACTTACAATTAACTCCCCTAACCGTTGAGGTTGAATTAGATTTTATCTGCCCTAACATTTACGAGGTCAAAAACATTTTAAAACGAAGCTAACTCAATATCACTTATTATATTCTATTACTTTATTTGGAGATTTTGTTTTTCCATACAAGACTCTCCTTTTAGTCCAAGAAAAAAAAGGTAAACCAATATTTTTTGCATCGGCTCAGCCGCAAGATTTTCTAGAGCGAGAAGTAATAGATTACCCAACATCCTTAGCGGCTCGACTTTGAATTCGTTTAGTTTTTATTTTATACTAACTTTCACCCAATACAAGGTTTAATAGTCCCTCGTTGTAGAGGATTTTTGAATGTCGTGTATGATATAAACATGAACGGAAGTAGAAGTGGAAGGAAGTGAATGGTTATGGTAATGGAGAGGCACTCGAGTTGAAGAGGTTAAAGAGCTATCCACGCGTAGTAGTTCTCGTGAAAATGAAGCTTTCTGCTTAGAAGTTCTTCCTCACAAATGGAATATGGATGAAATAACATGGTGAATCGGCTCCGTGAACGCTAACATGTAAAGTTGTAAAGTTCTGAACTGGTGAAACAAAAGAGTGGAGCTCATCTGAAGATTTGCGGGTAATCCTTCACTTAAGAGGCGTAAAATATACTACTATTCCCTGAACGGATTTAAATCAATAAGAGTGAGGTGTATATGTTTATTTACAATTAAATATGATTACAACGGGTAATTGGGGACTAGCCAGCAAATAAATGCCGGAAACGCGGGGCTGTATTTGCAGCGCAGGATCTACAAAATGCTACTGATAAGTAACGACGTCATGAGAGTAGATCACTTGGTTAATGTCTTCGACTCCGGCATGAGCAACCCAGCCATTTGATACAATATGGCGTCCAGGTTGAATATACCGCACGATCGCCCTTTTTAAAGTCTTTGTTCGCCGATGCGGCACCTCAACTAAGAAACAGTTTTCAGAACCCCCGCTCGATACTATCGAAATATCCAATAACCAGGGTTCCATTATCCGCAGGGATATTAACGATAAAAAAAAATTAATGGTATAAAATGGCCGATTGTTGTACGCCTATTATATGAAGGATAACGATAGAGTAGCGATAGATTTATGATGTTCCGTTTGTTACGAAAGGGACTCGGGAGTGAAAAATAAGCCATCCTCTACAAGCCAGCGTAAACGAGTTTAATATAAATATACAGTAATATTAATAAACGATTTAACATAAAATAATTAATGTTATGGTCCAGGTTAGGACGAAGGAAGAACAACACGAACACAAGATTAGAAATAACGAAGGTATATTACACATTATACATAATAATACAAGATGTGGAAGGTGTTAGTATGACTGTCAGTCTGGTTTGGAGTGAACTACTATCGGCTCGACTCGATTCGGTATCTAACCACCCCCACGAGGGTTGCATGTGGCACAAGGCCGAGTTTAACGTGGGTTTCCCGAGCCCGTAAGCTCGGCCAAAAAATACCCGTAGAACCCGTATAAACGGGATCGGGTTGGTCAACCTCCCCGAACGAGACTTTGCCCTTCGGCGGAGCCTCGTCTGGGTTCCTCTCTGCTCAGAATCAGAGAGTTCGACCGTCAAGCCGAGAAGCTCGGCTTGGTTTGACCGTCTCTCTTGAGAGGCGTAGTATACATAGTGTTAGGAAGAGTTCATTCTGTAGTTATAGGTAAGGACCCATGACAATTAATATAATATAAAATAATATAAATTTTATTCCTCAGTTCTCTATTCTCCCGAAGATACCGACAAGAGAGTGGAGTTTTGAATCGTCTAACCAGCTGACACAGGGACAGTGCAAGGATCTCGTCCCACCCCGATTCTTTGATACAAACCTCCCCCCCACCAATTCTACTACATCTCAATTGTCATAAGTTAGTAGTTATATAAAATTCAAAATTATTGTAACCTGATTATAAACAATAATATATTATATGCATTATCGGAGAAGAATTCAACTAGAAAAATTGAAAATAAATAAAAATTATCTAAATATAAATTAGAGACCTGTCATTCCATCATTCCTTCTTGAATAAATCATCAATGTTTTGCGCCCTTTTGGGCGGGGGGAGTTTTCTTGTTAAAAAATTGAATAATTTTAACACTTTGAATATTATGAATAAAAATAGTAAATTTTATATACTGTTCTTTTCTAGACTTATCATGAACAAAACAAATTCTCGAATTTAGATGAGAAAAAAAAAAGACCTCAAAATAACGTCAAATCAACGAAAATTTGTCATCGTTTAATAGTCAGTTGTCCTTAGCTTATGTTGGAATCTATATAAATGTTGGTAGACATAAAAGAAATGTTGATAAGATAGCAAGGGTCATAATCAGGCTTGCCCTCCCCCAGTCGGGGAGTTCGGGTGTAGTATGCACCTGCCCTGATCTGACATCTCTGGCGCTATAGATTCATACCGTTTCCAAGGACATTATTGCGCAGCGAACGAAACAAATTCTGTCAGAATTCGAACTCGGCATGCTGGTTCCGTCTTCCGGATAGATAACCGTTTCACTTCTCACACAGATCCGTTACGATATCTCCCCTATACCGTAGGGTACTGTGCGACAATGTCGTCTCCCAAGACGGACGAATTCTAAGGCATTGCGTCTTTATACGATTTAAACTTAATAAAGACAACACATTTAATACACAAACAGTTCTTCTGAAAGAATTCATAATCATAACACAAACACTTATTAAGAATAACTGCTTAATCTCATAGTCGATAAGAAAATTAGACAAACTATTAGACATTCGTCGTAATAAGCCAGGCCATAAGTTCGACTTAAAGAATACGGTTCTAATTAAAGAAGAAAATAATTTCTTGAGGCCAAATATTTTGAAAGTACGCTAATTTCGGAATCCCCTACGGTAAATTGACGTCCAAGATCATAAAGCATGTTTCCTTTCCTTACAAAACCTAACGCTATTGCGATGTGCATTAATTTAAAAAACATGTGCGATAAAAATAGAGACGTCATGTAAATGGTTTCACAGAGCTTACATACGCATACAAAAATGTGGAATTTGGACAGTTTTTCATAAATGTGATCCCGCTCTGCAGCAATATATTCTAGAAGCTCCAATGGCACACAATGAGATCACTATTTTATTTCGATCGCATGGTGATATGTTTGACGTTACTTGAACAAATCGTGTTATTAGTAGCAATGTTCATTATTTGTTAGATGAAAAATCGTCAACCGTTATTAATTTTTGATTAGTATTTCACTCATTTTAATTTTAGTTACTTTCCGCCACAGCAACTGGGATACTCAATATACGGCCATAAATATGCGGCCAACAGTAAGTAGTGTTGATCAAGGATAAAAAATAAGTTCCATATAAAATTAGAACCCATAACACATTTAACTTAGGATGGCTGTCTATGTAAATGTAAATGTATTACCATTTGATGATCAAATCTAACCTTTTTGACTTTTTATTTTTCCCCGATCGCTCAGTGTCAGATTTGAAGTTTCTGAAATTATTATTCGAGCCAATAATATTTTTAATGTTTTGTTAGAGGAAACATTATCAACATTGATTAATTCTTGACTAGCACTGTTTAAATTAATTTTGATTGCTTTTCATTGCAGATACTCGGTTTATGGCCATATCAAGTCAAAGGACGAGTTCTTGTACAATCATTGAAGATACGCAACGTTGAGCCTGATCAGTAGCTAGATGGGTGACTGCTTGGGAATAACAGGTGCGGTAAGCTTGGATATGCGTGTGGTGCAATGGTTAAAGGCTCGGTATTGGAAATTGGTTATGGAAATTCGAATTCCAGTTATGTTCGTTATAATTACTTACGCGCAAATACCCTTGGGGAAATGATAGGTTCATGCCTTTCCCAGGTTTTTTTTACGTTAGTGAATATAACGAGCCTGGCTAGAATAGGAAGTCGGCTATGTGACTTCCATTTCCGAATCGTAATCCATTACACAACCAAGTTTACAGTACCTGGTATTTTTCCAAGTCGTCACCCATCTAGATACTGATCAGGCTCAACGTTGCTTGACTTCGGTGATCGTATGAGAACCGGTTTCTCAAAGTGATATTGCTGTGGCCTTGTTAGGGGCCAGAAATAAAGACACAAAGCGAGGAATTAAGTTAAATATATTAACAGAAACAGTAATACAAACATATACAAACGAAAGTGCTACAGCAAGAATGTTCGGTCCAACTGTCAGAGCTGACTGCTGGAAACTTCCCTCTCCAAAAGGCAGTACCTGCCCCTATTTATAGCTGGGAGAATCCATGCGTGCGTGGGTGAAGTAACATAACAGATATGATAATTTGAAAGCGCTTAGAATTCGATCAGTGAAATATAAGCAATGGGGAGTGATAGAAGGAAAGTACTCCGTTCATTATTTAGTGTACAAAAGGTCAAAGGCAAGAGAAAAAGGATGAAGATCAGAAGGGCAAACAAGCCTTGACTGTAATCGACCTGGCACTATCTGTTGGGAAATAAGTTAATCGTGTAGCCTATCGTGTTTGCGTGGTCCATAATCGACGTAGCTCCTTCCAGGAAGGTCTGCTCGATGAGACATCAGAAGAATTTGCTGGGTGACCAATTCGACGAAGGTTTATTTCAACGCAGTCCAAATCGCAGCCGTCTGCCATTTCATATCTGTTTACAGTTAATTTTTGTTATCGAAGTTTTTTTTTTTTTTTTATTTCGCGCTTTTTAATTCATCGGAGTTAACACTTGTCTTTTTAAAAATATTTTTCCCTCGCCATTTATTGTCCAACTTGATCTCCATCTATTTACATTATTCGGACTATTGTCCTCATCTCTGTCGCCATATTTATTACAACGTTTCGGCCGTTGTACGCTCCGGCCTTCTTCAGGTAGTTGAAATGTCGAACTGAATTCTTCATTTTGCTCACTGGGATAGACTGTTTTGTCCCACGTGCCATGTCTAACGGATGTCAGTTATCAGTTATCTCCTGTTAATTCCCTTCTCCAAGTCCTCCACTGCCCTAACTCACACTCTTTAGGTCTTTGGGTTTAAAAAAAATTAAGCTTCAATAAACTATCAGTGGTAGGCAATTATTCAGGGACGCATTTGTCTGGGGACAAATGGCCAGCGACGCAATTGTTTGGTACGCAGTTGTCCGGGACGCAAATGTCCAGTAGGCAACTATCCGTCCACTTGTTTTAGCATATCCCGGCAGCTTATCTATATTCTAACCTAGCTGAAGCAGTTCAATGGGAGAAAACTGACTTGCAACTTTCAATATCTCAAAAAGCCGGACTAGTATTATTTTGATCTCATCGAACAGTTTTCTCTAGGGACGATGACCGTTCTGGGTATGACGATAAACTACATCCGCGTCCAGGGTAAGACGATAAACTACGTCCAGCAGCAAGGCCTCTGATCAGGAGGTTTTGAGGAGAGTATATAACCACCTCTTAATTGCTGGTGTTCCCAGGTCCACCCTGACCCGGTGTGGTAGCACCTGTTAGGGTCCCAGCTATGGGCAAATAGTCATCTCCCAAACTGAGGTAAAAAGCATTATAAAAGTGTAAAAATAGGTTTTAATACCAGAAATACTTAGTAAAAAATTATTACCAGAAATAAATTTTTGAAGATAAAAACTATTACCAGCAATACATTTTTGAAAAAAATATTACCAGCAATATATGTTTTAAAATAATATTACCAGTTATACATTTTTGAAGGAAATAGATATTTGACAAAACAAAATATTACCAGGAAAAAAAAAAAGTTGTCGGCATTAAATAACCCATTGAGGTTGATATGCCGTAAAACACAACAAACCAAAACAAATGACTAATTAAAAAGAAACTTTTTACGAAATTAAAACCATCCAAGATTTTAAATTTCCTAAAAGAAGTTGGATTGTTCTCAAAAATATGATTAATTGAAAAATGGTTTAAATATATATGTATACATACACACCTTTTTTTTTTTACCAAACTATCGCTATGAATCTATTTCAAAATTTTGTTGGCATTAAATGACCCACTGAGGTTGATATCCCATAAAACAAAACAACCAACAACCAATCAGGCACGCTGAACGGCTGCTCTCTCAGTGAGTTACCGTCCTTAAAACCTCTTTTGGGACAAGTTAATTCTAGGCCTCAATTGAATCTCATAGATACGATTCATTGCTAATGATGCTAGGAAGATTGAAGCTAGCTGCCCAGAATATATCCACTATATCTTTACAATCCAGATTTGACTAAAAATGGTGTATTGCTTGCATATCTGGAGATTTCCTGTCTTTACTTTCGTGATGTTACAGAGTTTGAATTAATTTATTCAGTCTCGTGTGACAAGACATATTCTCTACACTTCAACCTCTTTCACGTGGATACTACGCCGCATTGTTCTTTACACACATGGCTGGCTAGTCTGGTAGAATTCCTAAGCCTTTCAAGTTTGAATAATGTATTGTAATTATACCATCTCGTCTTAAAGCGACCTTCAGTAATCCTATGTATATTCTGGCCATTTGTATCTTTTACTTCTGCTTTATAAATTACTCCTTCATATGAATTGGAATCAAATACATATCAAATATGGATGGGAATCCGACAGAATCTGTGAACATAAAATGCTGGTGTCTAGCCTGTATTGTTCTATAGAGATTCTGATCCGCCCACAAATGTTTTTTTTTTGTGTAAATTTGTTATTCAATTTCTCCCAAATGTTGCCCCATCCGAAAACAAGACTGAACAGACGAACAACGGATCTCATAGTACCCTCCAGGCGTTATTATGAGATATACGGCATGCTAGGGAAACTTGGCGTGTGCTGATACCGGGAACGTCTCCGACACATCTGTAGAAGGTATTCTTTGTGGTTAGACGTACGTGCGGATCTTGGTCTTCCTCGATCCATAGTTTGTAGTGCCACGGATCCTGTCTTAGCAATGTGACGATAAACAGCAGCAAAGGTTGAATGACTCTGCTGCCTTCGGTCTAGGAACGCAATCTGATACAGCCGTGTAACCTTGCGTCCATTACTATTCACGCTTAAAAATCATATCTGCCTACTCACGATACGAATATCCTACCATTTTTAAATAGTACACTTCTCAACAAAATCACTACTACCCACGTAAAACTTTGGAGACAGACTAGCCACAAATGTACACGAATGACAGATGTAACCTAGTCTGTATGGCAACACAGCGCCATCCACCCTAAACTAACTTTAAACTCAATAACTCAAAAACGAATGATTTGCAGAAATACGTTTATATGGCTTTTGTCGATGCTTTGGGATGAAGAACCCGCCCAAAGGTTGTAAAAGTATATTATACACCCTATATATATATATATATATATATATATATATATAGAGAGAGAGAGAGAGAGAGACAGACAGACAGAGATCATTCTAGTATATATAAATATATATATAATATTATATATATATATATATATATATATATATATATATATATATATATACATTCACACACATATGTATGTGTATATATCTTTAGAAACATATAAATCAACACTTTTCTTTTTTTTCTTCCTGTTGTCCTTATTCTTTCTCTCTCTTTATATATATATATATATATATATATATATATATATATATATAGAGAGAGAGAGAGAGAGAGAGGGCGAAAGGAACAGAGAAAAAGAGAGGAGTGAGAGAAAGATAAATATAAAGAAAGCGATAAAGTAAGGGCGATAGGCAGATGGCGAAATATAAAGAAAGAGTGAAAAATCAATACAAGAAATAGGAGAGTAATAGGGAGTAAAAGATAGAAGCCGAGGGTGGGAAGAAAAGAGAGAGCGGGAAAGATCGCTTCAGAAAGATAAATAAAGAGAGATTGAAAGAGAAGGATAGAGCGAGTGAGTAACAAGGAAAGCAAGTGATAGAGAGAAAATAATATCTAAAAAGGGAAACTTCCAAAATGAATCCATAATCATTGAGAAACGTTCTATTCGAGTGACACATGAACCTAGAAATCAATAACAAGACATTGTAGGCAGACATTTTAATGAAAGAACATAAAAAGTTTTTTAGAAAAATGAACTTTTGATATGTGACTTCCTAACAGTATACACTTCACTCAAACCTTTTGTCTGTTTTGTAAACGAAGGTCAAATACGGACGTCATTACCTCGTGATTTTAACAAGTTGATTTGGCGTAAATAAATAAGTGAACATTCATAGTGATAAGGTCTTAGAAAATGAAAAAAAAAAAACACACATTGAAACCTTTCTCCTAAACAACTATATGAGTTAAGACTTCAAATGTCAAAGCTAAATTGCGATGACCTATGATTGACAATAAATTCCAAAACGACATTTTTCTTCTTCCTGCGAAGAAACACTTTTGATAGTTAGGACAAAATATCCCTTAAACTTATGAATATAAATGCGACACGTATAAAGAAACGGTGAATTGAACTTGATAAGAAAACATCTCCGCTGATTATGCCAGGAAATGTCGCAAAAATGAATTAGGATTATTCATTTATTAATTGGTATATTAATATTCAGGGAAAATACTGTTATCAGTGTCATTAAAATAAGGCAAGACTTACTGTCTCATCACGTTAAAACACCAGTTTCCGTACAATCTCCGAAGTTAAGCAATGTCCAGACTGGTCAATGCTTAGATTGGTGACATATTGGGAATGTCAGATATTGTCAGCTTGAATATGTGGGTGATAGAAAGGGTTTACGGCCACTTGACGTTGAAATACCGGTTCCCGTGCGATCACCGAAGTTAAGAAACATCAAACCTGGTCAGCACCCAGATGGGTGAACGCTTGAGAATACAAGGTGTTGTAAGCTTGTATGAGCCTGTGGTATAAAAGTCTTACGGCCAAGCCACTTTGAAACATCGGTTTCTGGGCTATCACCAAAGTTAGACAACGTCGAACCTGGTCAATAACTAGATCGGTGACCGCTTTTGAATACCACGTGCTTTAAGGTAGAATGAGCGGATTCTATAAAGGGCTTGCGGCCACATCACATTGAAACACCGGTTCACGTACGATCATCGAAGTTAAGCCACGTCGGGGCCTGGTCAGTATCTAGATGGGTGACTACTTGGAAAGGCTAGATGTTGTAAGCATGGTTGTGCGCTTGTTGTAATAAATAATGAAATTGTTAATCGGAGAGACAAATTCCAGTTGCCACTGTGTTCGTTATATTCCCGTTCGTGCAAATACCTTAGGGAAAGGTATAAATCTACTTCTTCCATCCAGCTATGGGCTAATTAGTAAGACTTGTATTACTAAACCATTATAATCTTTTTATATATAAAAAATGCTTACAATCTAAAATATTTTCTGGCTTTAAATAACCTGCAAAATGTTGATAAGCCATAGAAAAACGAATCTATCAATCAATAAAATAAAGCAATTCTCCATTTCGTACGTGTTTATGGTGGAAGTTTAATTAGTTTTTTTTATCGTTGCACCACACGCAGTCCGATATTAATTATCGCTGGGGGTTACATGGAATGAAAATGAATGGGAAAACTTTTGTGGGAGAGCATTGAGATAACTCGATATGTAATAAGGTTTAGTGAACGAGTTTGTTTGACCATTACTACTATGAATTAAATCTTCACTGGATTCTCCATAATTGTGGATAAGCGTAGTATATAGGAAATCAGTAGTGAATCAGCCGCCTCGGTGTAAGCTGGTTGGTTAATGAACTAGAATGCGTGCTTCTGGTTGGCCATTAGTACTGAGTAGTGAGTTCGATCCATCATGAGTGTTCCATAATTATGATCAACCAGCTTCATAAATAACAATTTCGTAGAACTTTGAACGTCTCGGCGTAATATGGTGTTAGTTACTCTCACTAATTCGCTAAAAAAAAAAATAAAACAAAAAAAAAACAGCATAGTATGATGAAAAAAAGGCCACTTATAAAAACAAACGTTTATCGTGAAAATGTTTAGGTTATTAATAAGAGGAAAGACCAAGGTATTTTCTATTATTTTTTGAACATTTTTTTTTAATACTTTCTAGCTCGTTCAAAATTTTGGTTAAAAATCTTTTTATTTCTTTTTTTATTTTTTAGCGTTAGCGGTCGACGTAATATTTAGGATTAGTGTTTTAGCGCCTTTATCCGGTGAACAACATTGATTTGGAAATTTCTGCAAAAAATCAAATAATTGTCGGATTATAATGAAACTTTCAGGACTTAATGAATTAAATTATTTTTGAAGTTTTTGTTTTTAGAAAAAATCTTGGCAAAAAATTTTTTTTTCATAATTTACCCGATCACTTATTTAATTCCATGAAACTTCGAGAAATTATAATTTAATCGCTGTTATATTCCGTGCTAAGGGAATAAACACATAACACCAGGTGGATACTAGAAGAAAGGTTTATTGTACACAACCAGTACAATATGAAATATGGTACAGTTATACACACAGGTCAATCTAGTAGTGAGTGCCACTAATTGGAAGGTCGGACGTGCTTCCGTCGTCTCTATCACTCTTCGCCCGGAGTCTTTCCTAGACGGTTGACTTTATAGGTATTTGCTACCTATAGTGTAATCATTCATGGGGGTGAATGGTTATTCCATTACATCAATCGCAAAATTTGATTTATTAGTTAAAAGCAAAAGTCCTTGGAGAAATCAGGAGTCCTTGGAGAAAGTAAATCTCATTTTTTTTATAATAGCTACTCATTTTCCGAAAATTTGCCTTGATTCATAAAAAAATGTAATAAAACTGATATTATTTAATTACAAAATTGCTTTTATAAATAAGATTTATTAAGGACACAAATGTCTTAAGAAAAAAAATTCGCGGAATAATTAATTTTTACAAGAAGTGTTTTCAGTTTTTTAAATTTTAATTATAATAATTTATTATAATATTTTTTACATTTTTTAAAAATCTTGTAAAATTCTATATTCCTTTAATTGCGTTAGGTGATATTGTTATTAAGTGAAATCCATATTTACTAATTAAAAATTGAAAAGCTTAATACAAATCATTTTGCATCAAGATTTTAAAAATAATTTTCATTCATATTTTATGTGTATAAAGGTGCCCATTTTGAAAGTATGGGAGACAATACACGACATTATTAGAAAATAAGAGCAATGACTATAATAAATTTAAAGTCAAAATTGCGAAAATTAGATTACGAAGAATATTTTCCAACATTTTAAAGATTACTATGTACTTAAAAATTATATAAAGTGGCACTCCACCGTTATTTTCTTAAATTTAAGATATTGTCAACTAGGAATCACTATACTATTTTCACAGAGTCGAATCAGCCTAATTTCTTCTATATTCTAAATGTCAGGAGAAAGTCCCATTCAGAAACCTTTTCTATCATGAACTGCTATTTTATAGAACAGACTCCTGTGTGGGTGGTTCCCTGAACACTAACATCTAACCTCTTCAATCAAGGTTCAATCATTATCTATCCTCCTTATCTTTATGGTCTTCTCTTTCTACGATGTTAAGTTCATATCATATACGTTATTTAGTAACCCTCTACTTTGAGTGGTTCTCCAGCCTTGAAATGGGTGAACTTTTGGAAAGGAATGAGACCTTTTCAAGATCTAAGCTAAGCTTAGTAAATCACAACATAATAGCCAATGGTTAATGTGTCTGGTTGACCATTTCTACTGACTAGTGGATTTGGTCCCCACTAAAGTTCCACTTATCTAGTTACGAATCACATCAGGTACTGGGAATATTTTAATATTTTAGCAAGATTGAATTCTTCGAGATAAGTCTGAGAGGTTCAATAAAATCAATTTGACATCTGACATCGAAAATGACCTTCAATCTGTTCTTAACTGGGGCAATATGTGGCGTGTTAACCTTAACACGCCCCAAGTTTTAATATCTATTTTTAGGATGGAAAAATGTGTTAATCATTTTCTATTTGTTATCCCCCAAATTTAGTAGCAAAAGATAAGAATGGTCGTCTGCTTTTTGAAAGCTTTGAATGGTGTTTGAGATAAAGTCACTGATTGGTTAATAAATGCTGTTGTGGAAATTTGAATTTGAAGTTGGTGTGAGTCTATTTTTGTACGGAATTGAGATTTTAGTGATAATACTTAACCCATTACCTGCCATGAGCCCCATTTGGGGATCTGTTAAAATTAAACTCATTACATATTATTCCTTGTATTTACATTGAATTGCTTACATACATTGCATTTGCAGAGGTATGTTTTACAACACTTAGCCTTTAAAGTTTTTATTATTAGCCGTAAGAAGACCCTTTCTGTCCTAATTTTACATTTCATGAGTAGAAAAATAATGACTATTTTGAAAAGTATTTTTTATTATTTCTAATCAATATTATATTTGATGTTTTATACACATATATATTTGATGTTCTAGTTTCTATAAATAAGACAATGGTAACTACTGAAATTAACATAAAGAATAAATAAACACCTGTCTGGGCCAAAAATGCGCATTAAAAAATTTGTCAGTTAATTGAATTCTTTCTACAATTGCAAACGGGGTTTTTCACACACATACACACACAGATATACATACATAAATACATATATATTTAATGTATTTTCTGTTTATACGTTATTTTTATAGATAGAATTTTTTTAAATAAAATGTTCTGTTTTTTAATTAAACATTATTAATTATATTAACCGACCTGAATGTTCAGAAATTTCGAAGAAAATATGCGTAGAACGCATGTTTTCAACGAGATTTCTCGGATATTCAGGCCGTTAAATGTAATTAATAATGTTTAATTAAAAAAACATTAGCATTTACTTAAATAAATTGTATGTATAAAAATAACGTGCAAACAGATAATATATTAAATAATTGTCGGACATAATCATATATATATATATATGTGTATATATATATATATATATATATATATATATATATATATATATATATATATATATATATATATAGATAGATTTTTTGAATTTGTAGGGCTGATGAATTGGATCGTGATTACGATTCCAATGTCATAAATTATAACCATGGAATATTAGTGTTTTTAGCCTTTTATATTATATTCTTATTCTGTCCTGGACATTGAGTTCGACCTGGATTCTATTCTTGGGAATATATATATATATATATATATATATATATATATATATATATATATACAGTGACCACTAATATTATCAATATCTATCTATCTATCTATCTATCATCTATCTATCTATATATATATAGATATTTTAAAATGTGAATATCTGAGTAACTACATGTCTCAGGCAAACGAATTTAAATAAGCTTTATGCTGACGCATAAAAAAATATTTTTTTCAAAATTTGAATTGGATCTTCAAAGGAATGTAGATTTTATAACCGATTTTACAAATCTTCCCAAATGCTGAATATGTGCGCCATCTGTGACACAACACACGTTAAGTTGTTAGTCCAGCTCCTGCCAAACACGCCGTAGCATGTTTTGGGTAACATTCTCCAGCGCCTCAGGGATTCTCTGCTTAATTCCCTCTACTCTTGTAAGAAGAGGGTGGTATAGACCTGTCCTATAGTCACATAGAAAAAATCAAGGTGTCAAGTCAGGTGAACTTCATGACCTACTGTCATTATCACTGACACGGCAGATTCAACTTCCCGCAAGAAACACATTGAGATAAGTCTACACAGTCAACTAGAGCAAATACACATTTTGTTAAAATTCGAGAACAGCTGAGTTATTAGACTATAAAATGATATCAATTTTTTGTGGGGGGACACCCTGTATATGGTAATAATACTATCACTTTGAAAATTTAGTTGAACAGTTGGTATTGCCAATGCTTTTCAAACACTAACCACTCAGCTATTGTGCGTTGCTTAAAGCAGAACCAACTGACCCAGCGGTTCATATGACAGCCTGCTAGATTCGTGGAATAATCCGAAGGAGAAGCGGAATTGATCTGAAAGCTGTTATCTTCATTCATCCCGCGCCTTGATCATTTTCCTGTCATCTTTTCTTCTATTTTGGACTGTTTCATATTAAAACAAATATCTCACATTGAACAATATAATTCATTGTTCAATGTTAAAACACGAGATACACTCTCTGCTCTTCCTTTTCTTTTTTTTTCTTTAATTATTTTTTTTTCTTTAAATATTT